TGTACAGCTACTGTATGCACTCACCTACCACACACACCTTCCCCTGCAAAAAAATTAGCCTTCCAAAATTGGGTGCCATGTCTACCTGGAACAGCAGCAGTGGCATTTCTAGTCACACAGCGCTGAGACTCTACCTGCCTTCTAATTGCTCTTTGTTCCACAGGTGTTAATGACCTCACTCTGTGAGGTGGAGAATGTGTCCAGATTTCTCCATATTTCCAAATTTCTCCCTATTCCAGAGTTCTCTCTGCATTTCTCCTTTTAACAAATGGTCATGATGGTCCAATAATCAAGCAAGCCTTTTTTCAGCAGTTGTGCTGAAAAACTTGCAATTAATTCCTCCTGATCTCTCTTCTCCTGCATCACAACCCTACAGGCTCTTTTCAAAATCCCAGATCTGTCCATGAACTCAAGTCTTCAGCAGCATCTAGGGTTTCAGCTTTTGGCTGAACAGTCAAAAGCTGATGCCAATTCAGCTGCGAAAGGGTTAAAACGGCAGTAGGAAAAGAGAGCATGAAGGAGCTGAAGACGACACTCTGTCCTTGCTGTATGCAACAATTCTGGTAAAAAAATTTTCTCTTTTCCCAAACAAGGTACGTCTTATCTGAGGCGTGTGGCATGCACAAAAATGCAGTATTCCCCCATGATGCACTAAATTATGCCAGCCTGGGAAAGGGCAGTGTGTCCAGGGGCACTGCTAATTCCTTTCCCAGCCAGCCCAGAAGACACATCCATGCTGTAGACACCTTCCCCTCAGCCCTTGAGCACAGCTGAGGGCACTGAGCTAAGCCAGGGGACCCAACCTACCCACAAAGGCCCAGTTCAGCCACTGAGACTTGGTATCTCTGCTGAGAAAAACCGGAATACGCGTTTGCCTCCGCAAGATGTACATGGACCCCCGGTGCTGGCAGCACTCAGCCTTCAAAGTGCTCTCAAAAGAGCTACTCCACTCTACTGTGCTCAGCAGCCGCTGCCCGCCCTGGCTCCCATGAGTCCCAAGAATGATGCAGATGCGCCTAATGATCTGCATGCTGTGCTATGGGTGAGCCCGGGACTCAAGATCCTGCCTGAAGTTGGTTCCTCCCATAGAAGGAGTCCTGGGAGCAAGCTGGGGAGCAGCTGGCATCCTCACAGGGAGCAGCAGGCTGTGGACTACTTCCCAGGTGCTACATGTTATTTATAGGTTCTGGAGGAAACCACCTGGTGCTCTGAATTTCTAGCTGCACCCTTTGAAGCCATTGCCAAGACACTCAAACACCTGGGTCCTCTCTCCTCAGGGAGGTAGGCTCTCTCGTGACTCCATGAAGCCCATTAGATCTGCACCATGGCTCAGCCACTTCCCTCAGTCCCCTCAAACCCCGGCAGCCTCCTTGGACATGAGACAGCAGCTCCCAGGTGACCTCTACACAGATGTCCCAGTGCCTGACATGGCAGCACCCTCCTCACACCATTATGTGACAAGTAAACTGGCCGGGGATGGTGGTGATCCTACCTGGTCTGGACAAGAGCTAAGGCTTACCCATGACCACACTGGGCTGCTGAGAGCACAATTTCTGCCCTGATTTAGCTCCCAAAAGAGTCAGTGCCCAGAAGCAGCTGGGAACAGATTGACCACTGTCCTGCTACCAGGAAGTGTGGGGCACAGTCTCCATAGAACATGGAGACATGCCAAGGGGTCCTGAAGACCTGCCAAGGGGTCCTGGAAAGGGTTTTACCAGAATGCTAGTGGGACACTGAAGGGGAGTGGGTGCCTGGGCTCTTACCTTGAGCCTGCTTGTGTGTCAAGACTGCTTCTGGCCTCTGCACTGGCCTCTTCAGCAGCTGAGCGGTGCCCACCTGGCTGGGCTTCTGGACAGCTGGCACAGTGGCCACTTTGATCTTGGGACTCGAGGTGGGGCTGCTGGAGACACTGGAGAGGTCCTGCAGAGGGGAGGCAGCTGGATTTCCACTAGGGTCCCACAACACCATTCCCAAGGGGGGCTCTGCATCCTCCAGTCCTTTGGTAGCGCTAATTAACTTTTTGTCAGCCGTAACATCAGTACAATGCCATTATTTGCACATAACAGGCAGGGAAGGAGGTGAGGAGTTGGCTCAATTCACTCAAGGGCAGAAGAAGGGGAAAAACCTGGCCCCCACACTCAGATCCTGGGATAGGCTCAATCTCCAACCCTCCTGTCCCCTGCCAGCACAGCTCATGGACAGAAGGCCATCACCATATACTGACACCAGTTGCAGGCACTGTCCTTACCTCTGAGCCGGAAGGCGAGGCCGGCACCTTGGCAGCTGGGGATGCGGGTTGGCTGGTTCTTTCTGGCAAGTCGAATGACAGGTCCCTCCTGGCTGGGTCCCGTGGCTTCTTCTTCTTCTCGGCGTCAAGGTCACGAGGGTCGGAGCCAGTGTGATTCTCCGACCGGGTCAGGACTCCGGTCAGGAAGTCGGCGATTTCATCCTGGATGGGGAGCAGGATGGCACATGTCTAAAAGGGCCTTAAAGGGCCTTTAATACTGAGGCTGCCCAAAGAGATGGACCTGTTAAGGCTTTCCCTACACCTACAAAACTCAGATGGAGCCAAGTGGGGACCCCAAAAGCAGCCTCCCCTTTCAGAAGAACGAGAGTCAGGGATGGGTAACTGGATGGGTAGCTCCCTTGCTAGAGCCAAGTCTCTGTAGGTCCCTGAGAACCACCAGGGCAGTTCACAGCACCACCATGTTAGAGGAAGAACCAAGAGCCTTTGCTGCCCCTGGTCAGTCCAGTAGGAAACCAGCTCTTCCCTTGAGGTCCCTGCAGCTAGGAGCCTCCACCCAAGCTGAGAGGACCTCCAGCAATGGCTGCTTCTGGCAGGGGAGTCATGCGCATGGTCCCCCAGGGAAGAGGTCAGTGCCCTGGAGAATGTCAAACTGTCTGGGGCTCAAGGGAAATATACATGGGTTCCACAGCCTAGCACCGGGTGTCCCCACAGCTGTAAGGCCTCAGCAGCACACCCCATTTCAGAGCCCATGCAGCAGAGGGCAATGGAGCACATCAGCTTGGGCTGCACTTTCACAATGGACCTTCTTCTTTTTTATGTTTTATGCTGGTCGAGGTGGGATCCTACCTATGACGTGGGACGGGACAGTGCAGCAAGGAGGAAAGAAAAAATCAATGAAGGATGCTGGGAACAACCCAAGGCTATGGTTCCTTAGCATCCCAGATGGTTCTGGGATCACAAGAGCAGTAACTGAGAGAGATGTGTTGAGGTTACAATTCAGAGGCAGACAATTATTTCAGGCGGAGGGCCGCTTACTGAGTTTTGGCAAACCATCGAGGATCGCATAACAGGCAGCCAGGGGCAGATAAATATTAATTTTCTAAATTTTTTAGGGGCCCTGCGGGCTGGATAGAATGGCCTGGCAGGCTGCACTTGGCCCATGGGCCACATTTTGCCCATTCTTAGGTTACATCCATCCTGCCTGGCAGGGACATCAGGGTTAGCACCCACTGAGGCCTCTGGGCACAGGCCCAGCCTGCACAGAGACTGCCGAAGCTTTACCTGGATGCAACGGTCCACCATGCTCTGGGTCAGCCCTTCCAACTTCTTCTTGGCTTTGCTTATCCTAAGGATGGAGCAAGGAAAGGAGTCAACACACATCTGTTCTTCCCTCCTGTCTCCATTGCTTCCCTCCCAACACCATCCATAGCCTGAATGCCAGCAAACAAGCATGAAATCCCCATACATGGTGCTGCAAGGTGAATTTCCCACCACTGCAGCCAGTGTGATTACCATTTGTTCTCATATTCACATGTAAATCCACAACAGTGAGACTAGGGAACAAGGCTCTCACCTTCCCAGAAGCCTGTCTCCTTCTCCCTACCTTATGAGACCGCTCCTTCAGAGCACAGTGAACACCCCCTCCACTTTGAGAGTGCTCATACAGGGGTTAGCAACATTTTTGGACAGAGTGCCAAAAACACCAGCAATCTTAATTTGTAAGATGTTTGCATACTGGGGCAGATGGCTGGGGAGCAGTGAGGGACCTGATTTTTGTTGTGGCAGTGCAGCCCTGGCCCCTTTCCCACTGTCCACCCTGAGGTGCACATGCCTAACACGGAGCCTGGGCTGCTCACAGCAGGTGGCAGAGAGGCAGCAAGCAGCTGCACCAAAGTCCGCAGACTGGCAGCCCAGCTCCCTGCAAGTGGCGGGGGCATATGTGCCCCCAGGGAGATGGAG